ACACACACACACACACACACATACAGAGAGAGAGAAAGAGGGGGAGAGAGAGAGAGAGAGAGAGAGAGAGAGAGAGAGAGAGAGAGAGAGAGAGAGAGAGAGAGATTGCACTGGTCCCACCCGCAGAAATCCATCATCCAACTCCTCCTGGGTGCAGGGCCAGCAGTCGAAGATGGCCATTTGTTTTTCGTCCCACCATAGGCTGCCCTGTCGGGAATGGGCTCAGTGGGGATGGAACGAGTTCACGGGCAAACATAAAATATGCCTTTTGCCTGTGGGGCCATTTGCAGAGACGTCCCAGCGCAGGGAGCGGAATCAGTGGGCTTTGAACGGGTGTAGGGGCTACTGGTAGCGGCATTGGAAAATTGGTTAACAAGCGTCCAACGACCAGAAAATACCGCTAGAAAGTTGCACAGGGCCCACCAGAGGTATACGCACAAGATTGCGGGTCCAATGGGCGACTGGGGTATTTCACAAAGTTTCAGAAATCTCAAAGGGACATTTTGGGATACGCATCCATTTTAGGCGTATCTGGACAAATGTCCCAACTCTCAGGGGCATTTCAATAATTTTCTCGATTTTTTGCTTTGTTTCCTTTTTTTTATACGCATGTTATCCTTACGCAGGGAAATCTCTTGTGTATTGTTTGCCTACAGCGCCCAGTAGCTATCTTGCGAGAAGAACGCGGCAGGTTGGTTGGCTAGATGGACGGAGGGGTAGCTTGCTGGTTGGTCGGCTCGGTGACAGGTTTGGCGGGGAGTGGTGCAATCATATGTTGTAGTAGGTACAACAGACAGAAGAGGCTGTCATTATATGCGTGTCATCCTTGCGCAGGAAAATCTCCTGTGTATTCTTTTTTTTTTTTTTTTTTTTTTTTGAGAAGTTGGTCACCTTTCTTACAAATAACAGAAGTTCAGAAGAGGCTGGGAACCTCACAATTCAACCCGGACGAACATACTAGGGCCATTACCCAACTTCGGCAGAACTGGAAACCGGGTCCAGTGTCCCATTTTCTCACTCTGTTATCTCAAAGAAGCTYCTCAAAAACTTCCCCTGAAGCGCAGTAAAAAGGTCTTAATTCCTATCTGACAACCTAAAAGGATTTCAAATGCATTTCCAAGCGTGAAGCACCACAGTTGATAAACCAGCTATCCCTATGGAATTGTAATCTTAAATGTCTAAATCGACAATACCCTTAAACTGTCACCAATTCAAAATCCATGTTCGAAAAATCTGTAGCAAGCCTATAAGTCCAGCCTATGCAGATGGCCAGAAAACAACAAACCGCCACTTGAAATTATAATAGTCATTGTATAACTAAAACCTAATGAACAAAGCCAAATAACAGATTGTGAACTAGAAAGGAATCTGGAGAGTTGAAGAAAAGGATTCGTCCAATAAGCAGATCAAGTAATTTCCACCGAAGGAATACAACACCAATACTGGCCCGACAGAGCAGCAGCTAGTAGTCGTGGGGAGCCTGGGTTGCCGTGACGAGGTTTCCCACCTTGCACCCTTGGACCTCTGTAGTAACTGCCATCTCCCACGCACCCTAGATCTCAATGGGTACAACCCAAGTTTGCTCTCTTGACAGCTAAATGCTATTCAGTTGTGCCATAGTAGGTCAGCAACGTTCCCACAACTATTAGGTCTCCCACCACCTCCAATAGTTCCGTTGCCTTCTACCAAGAACCCCCAACCTTCGACATTTACCAACCAACCTAAAGTCGAGAACCTGCAGTGAAGATTCCTTGAAATAGCCTATAGATTAGGTAAGATTCGGTGAGATAAACCTTACATGCAATTTTGGAATTACTATGTTATACTAAGGCTCTGCTATGGGAATAGGGATGGAGGGTTGCCTGAATCCAAGCTTACGACCCAATCCAGAGTATGAGCAAACTACTGCACTACACAAGGTTTTGCATAGAAGAAAACAAAGGAAGAATGCACCAAACGAAGCATACGCCCAGATACGGAATACTAATGACTAAATACAATCAAGATTTCCTCCAGTGATGAGTTTGAAAGAGGGTGAAAGTATTTCCAGATATTATCGTGTATGATAGTCATGAAGAAAACCACTCACAAGGAGTAAAAAATATGGTTGGGTTAATGCACGCTAAATATTTCGTACTAGAGAGTGGCTTAGTTAACACTCAGCGCTAGAGAGTGGCTTAGCTAACACTCAGCGCCCTTGATTCCAACGGAGATGCTCCCACCACCACCAGAGGAACTCCCACTCCCATTGGTGGCGCCGCCGCCCGTAGAGCTTCAGGTCTTCACCCTCCCAGTCGAGATAGTCAACAGTAGTTCTCACGCGCACCTCCCAACACCAGTCCCACCACCACCGACTGCCCACCCACTGCCTCCAGAGGCGCCGCTGTTGGATGTGCCCGCTGTCCCGTACTGGACTCACTTTCCCTTCGTCGTGTTCGCAGCCAAAGGCTGCGCCTTACCCGGTTCGGCTTTTTTGTCGTCTTGCGTATTTCTTTTTAAGGCAGGTTTTCGTCGGTTAAGCCGGGTTTAGATGGCGTCGACAGGTGCGTCTGAAGGGTGCGGTCGCAAATGTAGAAAGGACCGGTAGCCCTAGCGGTCGTGTCAGAGCTTAGAGGCTCAGCGACCGGTGGCGGGTTGGCAGGTCGTTCATGTAATGACGGTGGTCGGCGCCTATCGCGTGGTTTCAGTTTCCTTTTTGGGAAGAATCCTGGGGGACTCTCGACGTGCAAAATGAGACTGGATCCACCATTGGAACATGGAAAGATACATTGCGATCTTTTTGTCTTTTGCGCATCTTTTGTGCATGTGGAGAGTGGCGCAGCGAACCAGGGAAAAAAAAAAAAAAAAAAAGACAGAAGGAAATGTGCCGTTTTTTTTTTTGTTGATTTTTGTCCCCGCTCCCCCCCCAAACCGTCGAGACGAGATATATGCCCAACCATTGGTAGGCAACTACGCTGTACCTGCCGCGTTTCCCGGAGAGAGAGAGAGAGAGAGAGAGAGAGAGAGAGAGAGAGAGAGAGAGAGAGAGAGAGAGAGAG